ATGCATTTTCTTTTGAACAAATTGCAATGCAAATGTTTTTGTTGTAAAATTTGATTGATATGGCTTATATGATCATAAGCTGCTTGTGACATTTCTAACTATGTCTCACACAATCCTATGCTTATCTTGTAGTGTTTTTCATAAAAAAAGAATAAGATGATCCTAAACAAGAACTAATAGATACAGAGATTACATCTGTTTGACTTGAATCAGATAATCACGATAGATGAAAATATTTTGTTTATATAGTTCAAGAAAAGAAAAAATCCAATGATCTACATCCAAAATCAAACGAGCATTTTTATCATATGTTTCAGACAACATTTATGAAACCTTGGCAAAATAATGTATATTCCTTGATTTTGTGCCGTTCCGAGAACTCTTTTCGGCTTTCTTTATACTTCATAATGTTTTCAAGTATATTTCAAGTATCAGCACAAAATAATCATTATATATTATCTTTTAGTAAATCTATTCGACGATTTATCGTTTTCATACATTGTGTTTTGATCGAAAGAAGAATATTATATGTATCGAATTTGAATTTCTGGTTTTTTTGTGTATACTCATAGAAAAAATGTCGATATCATTATCATGTGATAATTTTCGCATTTTGCTAAACAATATCTGCAGGTAAATCAATTGCTATGTGTTAATGTCGGTTCTCAAAACTATGTGCTTACATCGCTAGATGTTTATTTCAGATAGAGCATTAAGTGTTGTGTCGATTTCTGCTAGAGTAACTTTGAATAGCTGGATAACGATAGATTTTTTGAACTCAAAAAGAAACACTGATTACTAATCAGACGTGAATTACAATAATCTCGAAGTATGAATTCATGCCTATTTAAAAGACATTTAGGATATTAGAATAGGAGAAATTAAGCTTAGAGCTTCAACTGACAATGCCTCATGCAGTAGTTCTAATTCAAAATCCAAATCAAATGAACTTATGTGTATTATATACATTTTTCACAATCTTGGTTTTTATTTACAATCACATGTGAAAGCAGTGCTATTTATAATGTAATTGATTGCTAATCCATTTTATCATTTATATCTGTAAGCACTTTGTGTTTATTGATCAAGTCTTTCGAGGAACTTTGAATTAAATGTTTTACAATGATAAAACTTATGATAAATATTAAAAAAACTGCACTCTATCATTCTAATTTCAAACAATAATATCACCTCAAAATTACTTCTCAAGTAATACTATTTCCGCAATTTTCTTGTGTAAGAATGCACTAGGAAATACTAAAAGTAACAGTTTTAGACTTATCTTTATGACTTCTACTATCAAACAATATCTAGATATCGACACAAATGTTTTCTTCATAATTCGAACTCTCTAACATCTCACATTGTAAGAAGAACATTTCACTGTGACCGAGATAGTTCATGATTGATTTATACATAATTAATTACAGTTTTATTTTGAAATGTAAGGGTTCTCTTACTTTGCAACATGTTTTTTCATTATCATCCTTTTCAGTTTTGAATAGTTCATATGAGAATGATTCGCAATCCATAGGACGACGAAATCCAAAAACAAAAATAATTTTAGGAAACTTTTGATAAGATTTGAAGTGGTTAGGAAAATATTTTTCAAGATCTTGAATAACACTACCAAGTTTCTATTATTGAGTAACAGCATACTTAAAGACGAAAAATGCGTCAAAATAGAAATCTATCTGAGTATCTAGAAGCAGTTAAAGATAGATAAAAGTAATTTCAGATACTCAATAATATTTAAAAATACAGATAAGTCTTGTGAAATACATTGAAATACTTTTGAATGTGAAATGAGCTGTTCTTATGCTGATTCATTGACAAGTTTATCAGTAATGTATTCACAACATGAATAACTGTCAGAATTCTAATCATGACATTGATTAGGTGACTATTTAAGATATGATATAATTCAATTTCCATGTCAATTAACTAGTATTTAAATAATGACAAAAGATGAAAAATTAGAATCAATTTTTGAGGTGTATGATAAATCAGGGCCATACAAAGAAGTATCTCCAATGCTCACATCTATGATGAAGGAAACACTCATAGTTTGTGTTTTATAAACAACATGTCAGTGTAACTCTACTAAAATGAATCTTATCAAGGCATCAACAAAAATACTGATGAGTCATTTAAGACTGACCCATATCTGTTGATTAGTTACAGAAAGAGATTCTGAAAAAAGGAATAGATGTTTCTTTTCTAAAAGCATGTAGATACTGAGAACTTTTTGAGTTTAATATGATGAATAAATGAATTAATTATTCTCCTCATTATTTTCTTTTCATTAAATATTCTCTTCTACAAATATGCGGTACTAATGATTTTGAACTTTAAAATCAACGGAAAGTCAGCGTCGTAATAACCTCTCAACGCTTTCTCTATGCAACATCTTCTTGACTTCGTCATTATTTTTATTTACGTTTGACAATTTTTTGGAAAACACTTTGTGATTATGATATTCTTTATAAAAAGATGCACTTTTATATGGGATTGATGTTTGTCACGCAATGTTCTTATTACAATACTACATTTTAAAAATTTCCTATTATACATGACTGATGTTCTTCATGAAATATTCCATTATTTTAATATGATTTGTAAAAGCATACGCATTGATATGTAATTGACGTGCTGTATGAAATCATGCTTTGTTTCAACATTTGCTCTCCCAGTGCGTGTTCATATATGGATCGTTTTGCTATGGATTACAATATCATATCTTGAGTTATTTTCAAGCAATTAGTTTCTACACTATTGTTTGGAATGAAGTGTGCTTTATTATGAAAAATTTTAAATAATTAATATAATTTGGTTATTTGTAATTGTCTTGACCTTTCAGCATCAAAATACACAAGTGTTAAAATGAAAAGGTTGATACTATTTTCCATAAGGATGAAATCAAGGGTTGATTCTTTAATAAGAGATGAATCTTATTTCGTTATTAGTAAAGCAATCAAATGTTGACGACTAAAAATTGTTTCTAATGAGTCATAATTTGATACGATGTGATTTTCACCCGAACCATGTTCTCTAAAACATACCAAACATAAATACTATTCATAATTATGAGTAGGATGCGAAATGAACAATTAGTACGTTGACTTCCTGTTAGTGATTCATATATATATATATATCACGTTCTTGTTTAGCCTGGGAAACAGCAGAGTTTTTGAGTACTATGAATCGTATAAATGTAGTTACTTCAAGCTCTTGTAATATCTTAAGAATCCTCGGACTTTCTCGATGAAAGTGAATTTTTTTATAATAAGTTATAGGTTACATTCCTAAGTGAGTAACTTAGAAATCGCAGCACTTGATAACATGTAGCTAAACCTAATAATAGTGTCCCAGATACAAATTAATTATTGATCGATGAATAGGCTATTGTTTTTTATGAAGAACCATAAGAAATTCATAAACTGCAGAACTTTCAGGTAGGTATCTGTTAGGGTATTTTGTTGAAATTGTATAATAACTTGTGAAAAGGAATCTGAAAATGAAAAGTTTGAATAGATTGAAAAAACAAGAAAGTGAATAAAAATGCCCTTTATCTTAATATTATACTAATTTGATAACTCAAAATCAGTTCAAAACTATGTCTTAATACTGAGGTGAGATAAAGAACTCTAATAATGTTGTGTCTCAACAAAACGTAAGTTTTTGCCTATAGTTACACCGCATTGACCATTTTACAGTGTCTTTTAGTCAAACTACATCATTAGTTAATGTTTTATTTTCATATGTCAATTTTCTCATTTTAATTATTTGAAAAATCAGAACAAAAATACAGTTCATAAAACAGTGTTATTCTGTGGGATTTATTACAATTATGTGCAATGAAACTTTCAATGAGAGAAGGACAAGTACACGCTTTTCTAGCAGATAATTTGATGATTTCAGTGGAATGGACATTTTAGCATATCCCATTTCTGATATCATCATGCTATAAAATGGAAGCAATTGATGTGCACACCAGGAGAGAGAGAAAAATAGCGAGAAAAAAGCAAAGAGAAATAACTATTGTGGCCTATTATATAAATGCATTCCACTTTTATTAATTGGCATCACACAGTTAGTGGCTTTCTTTTCCGCAAATGCTCTTCATTGACTTAAAAATTATCGTAAATCAGTCAGAAAGTCATTGTTTGAAAGGTACAACTTTTTAGAAAAAAAAGTTTTTTTTTGACAAAGTATCCCAAGAGGATCCTAACCCGTATTTTTCCAGGAATATAGTTTGAAAATGATTTTGAGACCTATATCATGTAACGCTTCTTAATTTTCTGATCCGTAGTGTTAACTTAACTTTTGTATGAGTGCATAATTAATGCGTAGAATTAGGTTTCCAACCAAAAACCTGCGATCATCGGAAAATTTTTGACATAGCCTTGACAACTTTTACTGGTTGAATTCATCTGATTCTTCAAATATACATCAGTTTGCAGAGAAGATGTGCTTCGCGCGATATTAAATAATCAAACACTTGATTTATATTTCAGTTTTAGAAAAGCCTTAACTTTGGTCCAATATACTCACTCTCAGTTAGCATCAAGTCGTGCTTTAAAACAGTAGAAATGTATTTTTTTTACTTATTCATGTTCTTATTGAATTAAAATCTAGTTAGTGTTGTTGTGAACACCCTCGAGTTATTATATAGTTTGAGAAAATATTAAAAGTCCAAAATACGTTATCAGATTCATTCTTTTATCATTTACTTTTTAGTAAAATAATATCAAGTTTTCTTCAAGACAAGCATGTCTCCACTATCACATAACGACTCTCTTATCATATTATTGAACAATATTTCAACTCAATTAAGTCGTTCTGCTGCAGTTTTTATTTTTCTATTCGGTGTTGTAGGAAACATTCTTAATATTCTTGTACTCTCACAACGGTCACTTCGTTCTAATTCATGTGCTTGGCTTTTTCTGGTTTCATCCATTGTTAATCTCATCTCTATTCTATCTGGTCTTATTACAGAAATGATTGGTGGTTGGATAATTGATCCAACCACCTATATAGGATGGGTTTGCAAACTTCGTGCTTTTCTTGTGTTCACAACAAGAACGATAGCACCGTGGTTAATCGTTTTAGCCACTATCGATCGATGGCTTTTATCGAGTGTTGATGCTCATCGTCGACAAAAAAGCACATTAAAGAATGCTCAACGATGGACAATAATAATAATTATTTTTTCAATCCTACTCTATGCTCAACTGTTCTATTGTTATGAAGCAAATCTTATTGATACTCCTCTGGCATGTTATGGTAAAACAGTCGCATGTCGTTATATCACTGATTTCTCATTTTCTGTGATTACAATTTTATGTCCTTTATTTTTCATGATTTTATTTGGCTTGTTAACTATTTCAAATGTACAACAATCTCAACGTCGTGTTCAAATATTACAATTACAAAATAAGAAGCCTACAAAGAATAAGTCATCAGGATCAATTGGTGGGAATACAGAACATAAATCAAAACAAAGAACTGAGCGTAGTCTTCTTCGAATGCTTCTAGTTCAGGTTTTGCTTCTCACTATCTTTACTTTTCCATTGTTTCTTCAAAAATTTTATTCAACATTCTCTGGAGAGAAAAAATCTCCAATAGAGATGGCCATTAATATGTTTCTATATAATTTAGCCGTTTTAATATATTTTGTATCGAATGGTATGCCTTTCTACATTTATACATTATGTGGTGGAACCGTGTTTCGAAAGGCATTATCTGAGTTTGTTTTGATGATGAAACGAAAAATGATGTGTCAATAGATTGATGTATCGTAAACGAATAAAAAATTTTTGATTGACTATAAATTTTCAAGCACTCACACAAACTTGTTTTTTTTGTCATTTCATTATTATTATAGCTTTTAGTTAGACATAACGAAAATCTTTGATGTTCCCAACCTGACAGTTGTCATAGGCCGGAACTATCCTGAAGAGATTTGTGATTTTTCGCTTGGCAAACTTCAAAAACTGGAGAAAAACATGTTGCTATGGGTTTTCAAAATTTTGATACGTTTCGAATGAGAATTTCTTTAAGAATCTAAACGATTTATCCTTCTTCTTGAATCATGAATCATCGAAGAAAGTGGAAAATCATATAAAAGACTGGCGTCAGAGAACTTCAGGATGTTGTCAAGATTGAAAACCGAATTTCATCATAATGCTAAACAATTGACCAATACATTTCAAACAAGGAATCTCTTCAAGAAATCGTAAATCCAGAAAGAATAGTGTGTAGTTGAAAGATGAGAAAGTTTTTTCAGCAATAGAACAAGATCTTAGTAGGATCCTGAGTAATGATCCACTAAGCTATTGGAATTCGGACGTCTAAATTAAGAAAAAAACCGAAGTTTCACTGGAATCTTGGTAATGTTGTCGAAGTTCTTTATGAAACTTTAGTAGAATTCGAACATTCTCTAAACTCAGATGGCAAAGTTCCAGACGATCTCTATAATTTGTGCATATATAAGACTACCCACAAATTGACATGGAGGTTTTGTGCTGAAACCCTAGCGTATGGTAGCGTTGAAAACTGCTTTCAAGTATTTTCACCGTATTTTTTTTTCAAAATTCGCCAAACTTATATGTTTTCTGACTATTTTTTAATGAATACACTCATTGAGAACAACGGATCGTGCCCTTTGTCTTCGTTTCCTTCTGTTCAGAAATGCAAAATGGCTATATTAGCATCTTAATGTTTTCTTTTTATTTTCTTCTATTTTTATAGCACAGGTGCTGAAGTTGTCTTCATTGCCGAACTATAGTACAAAAACTTTATCACACTATTTGGCTCTTACTGTCGTCGAAAACCTTCAAGTTTTGTGGTTAATTCGCAACACCAATGATTTTGGAGAGATTCACAAAATGTCACTTGCTTTTTGTTCAAGATGTAATTAATTCAATCAAGACATTCATTGACCTTAATGAATGCATCTATTTTATTACGAGTCTCAGAGATAAAAACCATCCTTCTGATTACCCCTCAAAAAATTGACCAGCAAGAAGCCTTTTTCATTGAAAACTTCTCTCAAGTTAACTCCATTTATTTATTTTTTTTGCGATAAATTGATGATAAAATAATAGGTTAAACAATGTAAGAAAGGTAGAGACGTATATACTGATAATAAATGCTACCTGTGATGTGCTCAAGCAAGATGTTCATCGTTTCGATCGAAATAGAGTACCCATTATTGTTGTTTCATAGGCATCTGCTACTAGTATCAATGAGCTGGACCCATCATTCATATATCCCCAATTTTTAAAAGAGATTCTTCTAGATATACCACATGATAAGTATAACAAGAAGATTCTTGTAGATTTCAGTGCTAAAACCTATGCTGACAATGATGTACAAGTAAAAATCATCGCTGAATTCGAACAACAATATGACAAACTATCTCCTGTTGGTTGGTATACTCGTGAATGCTTCCTCTATTGGATGTTGAACACAGTTCTACGAACTCACGATGCAGAAACTATTTTGAAAATGGGTTTTCTTCTTCGAGATCTTCATTGCCAAATTGAAAGACTATACTTGCAGAAGGAGTCTTGCAATTCGTTGTTTATTACTAGATGACAGGAGCGTAACTAGGGGGTGCCCAGGGTGACGGGACATCTCCTCCTACTTTGACCAATAAAATACCTGAAGGGGATACGGGTAAAAAATATTTTCGAAAAACAAAAATTTATTTTGCTGCTGGTGTGCACCCCTTCCCCCCCCCCCCCCTCCCCCCTCTTTAGAAAATTCCTGGCTACGCCACTGCTAGATGGCAAAATTTCGGACATCTAACAAATAAAAGCAGAGTTTTTATTGAGTTCATTTTTTATCTGGTCTTTGACAAGAACTAGGTGAATTTTTCGGCAGAAAGAAATCTAGAAATTCCTCAAATCACATATATACCAAGCCAGCTCTTTATGCCGACTTCGAATATTTATGTTAGTCTTAATTTAAATTCAGCTTTTCTAATCGAAGTCCTATACAGATTGATTAAAAAATCACAACACTACGCGAGGACAAGAATGTACTAAGAAATCTTTTAGGCAACCAGTTTTTTTTGTCTTTGGAATACATAGAATTTTGTAGCTTTTAAAAGTGCTATCAAATGAATAATACCAAAGCTATGTCTTATAGAACATCGGACCGATATCTCATTAAGTTAAACGATCAATTGGTGATTTATATATATCGATTTCTAGCATCATTAAAGAGCTATGAAATGCATCATTTTCGTGCTATTTCGTCTTGTTTACTTATTATCAACTTGAATTCAACGTGATAGTGTTGATTATTAGAATAACGACAAAGGGTTCTTTACTTTGTTTATACCTTTTAGATTTCAAAGTTCGATCGAAACCTCATGAAACTATTAGGAAAATGTTGGTTTCAATATGCTGTGTCCGTTGATATATGATTCAATACAGTTGGCTAAAAAAAATTATAAGCAGGTTGATTTGATCTTTTAGGGATTCCCTTTCGTTATATACTCATGCTAATAAGTCATATGTGCTGGATGAATATATTCCCTAGACTATTCTTAACCAACCACTCTATTTATAATGATATTTCTTGGAACATGCATTTTCATATGTGATTAGTGTCTACCACGAAACTGTCTTATTATTTTAATATTAAAAAAAAAATGTTCCTTTAAACATGATTGATGTTCTTCACGAACCGTTCCATTGTTAAGATATGTTTTTAGACAGCATATATTTTCATATTTGATTAAGGTTTTGCACGAACTCTAACGTTATTTTGATGTTTATCCTGAAAATAGCTTGTCGAGATGAATCCTATTTTGGTTAAAAAGAACAATATTAGAAAAAACTGGGCTAAAATGCCAAACAATTATAGTATCGAAAGATAAATATGTCGATTGATTCAAGTGTCGAAACAATACAAATTATTGTTTAGTTGATGATAAAGGATTGAATATATTTATTTCATTTATAGAATTTATATTCATAAGAAAAAAAAAACAGTTTTTTCTACGAAAAAAGCAGTTGACTAACCGGAAAAATCTTAACGAACACATTAAATTAAATCATACGCATGTTTTATATTTGTGTTTTTCAGAAGTGTTGGTATGGATAGGTGAAAAAGAAAATATCACAACCATCCAGGCATATATATGCATCCTCATATATTACTAATCGGTTGATATTGTCATCTCATGAATCGCCTATTTATCTTTTCTTGTTACATGAAAATGATTTCAAACATCAGAATTATTATAATAAGCACATATTACGGGAATGGTACTTCTGATATTTTTTACTTTTCGAAATTGCTAGAATTAACCCTTTTCACATATGCAATCTTTTGCTTCAGAATAAAGTATTATATGTTTCTTTATTTCTAAATCCATTAGTTTTTACGATATCATTTCAAATAGATTATTTATTATTATCAAAATTTCTCAATAAATTATCGTGTTCCCTAATATGTAATTGCCTTATCCCTTCACCATTAGAGTGTGTAACTATTAAAACCAAAAGGTTCATACGTTTTTCAAGAGTAATGAAATTATGAATTTGATATTCTGCATTGATTCTTCAAGAAAATATTAATCTGATATTGTTATTAGCAATATCGCCTCCGTTTTGACAAGTAAAAATCGTTTTTGATGAATTATAATTCGATATTATATGGTCTTCAATAGAACTATCCTTTTTAAAACATAAAAAGACATGAACACGGCTCATAATTACGAATCAGATGTTAGATGAACGATTGTTATGTTTACTTCCTGTTAGTAATTCATATATGTCGTGCCCTGTTTTAACTCGGAAAGCAGCAAAATTTTTTGAAATTATTTTTAATTTTAAGTTTATAATGTTAAATTCTTATAATACATCAATGACGATAAAAGTCGTTCCATGAGCTTCTACACTTTTATAATAAGCGACAGACTACATAAATTAGTGTGAAACTGACGTATCACGATATATCGTGACATATAGCTAAGCCTAATGCCATCTCTTGAAATACAAATTCAACATAATTCTATAAATGTATTCTCGTTTCTTATAAAGAACCTTTTAAAACATCGTAAACTTCGTGACTTGTCATTAGGCAGGGGTGCAGAATCTACCCGTGTGCGCCGACGGTCGTCGGGGGAAATTTTTCAAATTCTTTTACAGTTGGGGAAATTTTTGAAGGTTTAATAGTGACATTTTGGAAAATTTTTTGGTATTTTTCCCTGTAGGGAAATTTTCGAAATGAGTCTTGGTTTACCTGTATATATCAGGGAAGCCATATAATGGTCGCTTTTTTCTTCTCATTCAACTTTCGAAAGAGCCATTTTCTATTTTCAGAAAATAATTAATATAAGTGTTATTAAAAGGAAAATGGCTGTTATACGATAATCTAATTATGCATGTAAAACAATCGATCAATGCTCTTCACAAATTAGTTAACAGTGTCACATTTTCATAAAATTGTTTATCAATCGATCATTAGTATTCGTTGATTGCTTTTCTTTCTTTGTCTGTGTTCTCAAAAATCAGTTTGCGTACGATTTGAACCTTCTTCATTCAAAAAAAAGTTATTCGAATAACAATGTACCCAAGTAAACAACAGGTGTCATGCTTTTATTGTGAATAGGTCGGGCGAAAAGATAAAGCAAAAAACCATTGGAAAAAATATCATCCTGAAGAAAGATTTAAGTTGAAGATTTCAAAAAACAACTTGACTAAATATCATTTTCGAAAAGAAGTAACTGAAGAATCCACAACAATTTCCAATGATGATGAAAATACCGATATATCTGAAGAGCAACAACAAGCAAATTTTACTTTATTGCCTCCATGTCTACCAACCTCAACATCAACAGTATCAACAATGAATAATGCCACACTGCTGTCAACAACAAATCTATTGCATACACCATCAGTTCCAAATGCAACATCAGGTATAAATACATCGTCAGGTTCCACAGAACATTTAAAATTGGTGAATTCTATGCAAGATCAATTGACATTCATGGCACAACAACTTACGAAAATTAGTAATTCAATTGAAAATATTCAATTAGAAAAAAATAACGAAGCATCATCATCACCTTCACAACAAGATGAGATCGAACAACTATTTGAGAGCATTACATGTTCAGATGATTCCTTTAATTTAAAATGTTTAGAAATAAATTATCAATTAGATATCATCATATGTATTCCTTGCTGCACATAGAAGACACAACTCTAGGTGAACATTTTTTGTCATGCTCTTGACCTGCGCAGACCTCAAGTTTTGCCCATAGCGTATGACTTTCTTGCTCAAGACAAGCGCTTGAGTGTTTGCATGAGTCACAAGAAACTCATGCACTCAACTCAAGAAAATGTAACTATGAATTTTTATTAAAAATTGAGTTATTTTTGAACGTAAAATGAAAAAAAAGGTAAAAAAGTTCCTAGATAATAGGCACGCTTGGATCAGAATTCAAACACATGAGCAAGAATATCAAGCGATAGGACAAGAAGTTCAAGAGATTGAGCTCGATAAAAGGTCTCAAGTCTTGCCTCAAGATTTGTCCATAGCGCATAACTTTCTTGATCAAGATTCTCCAGTATCTCATGCGCAGGCCAAAAGAAATTCGACTAGGGTGGAGTTATTTTGAACGTAAACTTGAAAAAAAACTAAAAAATCTCCTTAATAACAGAAACGCTTGGGTAAGAATTCAAGCGCATAGGCAAGAATATCAAGCAATAGAACAAGAAGTTCAAGAACTTGAGCTCACCGACATGGTCTCAAATATTGCTTCAAGATTTGTCCATAGCGCATAACTTTCTTGGTCAAGATTCTCAAGTATCTCCTGCGCAGACCAAAAGAAGTTCGTCTAGGAAAGCACCAAAATATTTAATAAGTTCAATTAATTCTTCATTTGGTATGCTTCAACCCATTGAACAAAAAATAGGTGAACCCCAATCAGAAAAATGTGCAATGTATTAAATATTAGTGGCTTTCTTGAATAAGTATTTTTCATCTAGAAAAGTCGGTATTTAATTGACTCTCATACCTGGGGAAATTTTTCGAAAAAATTTTACTGTCGGGGGAAATTTTTAATTTTACCGGCAGATTCTGCACCCCTGTCATTAGGCTTCTTTTAAAGCATTTCTTGAAATTGCGTAACAATCTGTCGAAACAAATCTGAAAATCAAAAGCTTGAATACGCTGAAAAAAAACACCTGAATAACAATTTTGTTGATAATAATAATATAGTAGTTTCACAATTCAAATAAGTTCAAACCTATGTCTCATTTAGTTCTGAAATGAGATAAATAACTCTATTAATGTTGGCTCTATACAAAAGATACATTTTTTATTTGTAGATACACCATATCGATCATTGCATTATTTCTGTTAGTTATACCATATCATCAGCTTGCTTTCCAACTAGATAATTACCATTAGATAAAACTAGTCGTTCAATGCAAGAAATTATATATGCCATTTAGTTGCACATCATTTGCTGATTTTCATTGCATGAATGTTTTGTCATACCCAAGCAGTCAGAAAAGTTAAATGGATGCGTTATAACAACCGTTTTGCGTTTTATCTTGTAACGCATTTTACACAGTCAAAAATGTCCGAATTTTGGCGTTTTAACAATCGCATTTTTTTCAGCTTTCACATCGTTAAAATGGTAGAAGAGACAAATGATTAAAACGCATTTTCGAGATCAACAGTTTAAAACGCGTAAAATCAGACATTTTTGACTGTGTAAAATGCGTTACAAGATAAAACGCAAAACGGTCGTTATAACGCGTCAATTTAACTTTTCTGACTGCTTCGGATATTACAAACAATATTAAAATACAGTATTTACTAATACATAAGAGATACCAGGTAATATCGGTTCGAAGAAAGTCGGAAGTTAAAGAGCATATAACAGTAGTGTAGTTTCATTTCTTTTCAGAGAATAGGTTCATGGTCATGTAAATGTAAATAATCGAGTGATAACTTTCTAGCAATTTTTTTTTTGTTTTATTTTATCTTCCAAATAATAAAAAAAAATTTACAAGAAAAACTAACTAACTTAAGTGTTAAGGATCTCATGCATTTTAAATTTAAATTGTCGGATCTTGCTTATTCACTAGGAGATTTTTTCACTATTTCGAAGATAAAGTAAATATGTTAAATTTCGCTAGAATACTATTGCTAGATTATTTACAATTACATGGCCATGAATCTAATCTCTGAAAAGAAATGAAACTACACTATTGTTGTATGCTCTTTAACTCCTGACTTTCTTGGAATCGATGTTACTTGGTATCTCTTATTTACTAGTAAATCCTGAATTTTAATATTGTCTGTAATATGAAGGTATATGAGTTATATCTATTCTTTCCTAGTCTTAGCCACAGTTCTTACTCATTGGATCTATTTAAAAAGTTTTTCAAAACTAAATAATGAAGTAGAAAAACTGAAACGCACGTCATACACTATTTTTCTCTATAAGCACTATTCACCTAAATATATAGTACAATGAATCAAGTGCCTAATATAGAAGTTTCTTTTTTGTTACTCCAAATATATTTGGTAATGCCTTTTCATATTTAGAATGCATATGTTGTGGTCAAAATTAAAATTTTAATTTTGACTGAACAAAATTAAAATTCTTTTTTTATTGAAAAGAAACACGTAAAATTTCGATAACAAAATGTATGGATGTGGGTGAGGGTGCTTGGTTTTGAAGCGTGTGGGTGTAGGTAGGTATAGAAGGAGCAAGGGCTCTAGGGTTGCCATTTTGCTATTAATTTATATAAATTTAAATCATCGGTAATCAAGTTTAAAATAAATTAAATTTTATTCATAATTTAAATTTAAATTATCATAATTTATATTTTAAATAAATTTTGCTTTAGACAATTCAAATTTATTTTAAATGCAAATTATGAAAAAAATAGCCTAAATTTATTTTAAATTTAAATTACCGATAATTTAATTTAAGCAGTAGTTAAATTGAAAGTAAATATAAATTGACACTCCTACAAGGCCCCTATTGCACCCACACTCATATAATATTTGTTAATAATTTTTTTGAAATAAAAAAGTTGTCGCTACTTTGGATTTTGGTTTTTCTTTACCTTTTTCTTTTCATCGAAAAAAATTTTACTTTCGTCCAGTCAAAACTAAAATTTTAGTTCTGACTGACATTATGTTGGACAAAATCAAAATTTCAATTTTCTCTGGGTAAAATTAAAATTTTAATTTTGACCACAACATATATATATCATTTCGATGGCAAAAAGCACTAAGAGATCAAAATATTTCTATCAAAGGGGAAGTTAATAAAGAAACGATTGAACAATGTTTTAATATTTTTATCCATATCATGAATTATTCTTATGTTTACTATTTTCGTAGTAGCGAGCTTTTTGATGTAGATTTAACAGATTCATATTAAAATTCGTTATGAATATAATATTTTTTCCTCGAATAATTTGAATTAAATTTTAGTCCGTGGACACTTTTATTGTTGAAATGATATATAATTATTTTGACAAGAATAGAGATCTAACTGAGGAAGAGTGAAAGAAAATATGTGAACCTTCAGTGATTTTTATGATGAAAATAATATTTTTGATTTTGAAAAAGAGATTTTTGGATTTACCTGGCTGAGTTATTCTTGAGAAGATTAGCGCACGAAAAATAAATTTAAGCAGAGAATCGATGAAATAAAAAAACGAATCCCTACATGTATTACAGAATATCTAATTAAGACTCTTTTTTATAAACTTATATGCTTGGGAAAAAATAGAATGATATGTATTGATTGAATAAGGAACAATAGGAATTACTGAATAGTTATGAGTGTTGCTCTTCGTCTTGTTGTAACAACGAAACAAAGAAGTTCGATGCTACTGGTTAGCGCTATCACCAACAGGATAGGAGAAATGGATAACTTTGTGGAAAGCTTTCGTTTTATTCAAGTTAAAGCGCGTTGTTACTAGAACAAAAAATAAAAGTAACAGTAAACGAGTTTAAACGATACCTATTTAGTTGATCCTGTTTGATATATAAAAATACATTAAAACGCATCAAATCATTACAATTTGCCTATGAAATGCATTAAAATCTGTTTACACAAGAATAAACCCGTCTTAATGGGTTCAACGTTTTGATTCATCATATTAATGAGTTATAATGCATTTTTTTTCATTTTTTTGTCTAAACGCGTTGAAACGTGGTTATTTCTTCATGTGTTCAGTCAACGCATTATAAAGCATTGTTTTCTTCTATTCTACCATTCAACACGTCAAAACGGCGTTTTGGCGTTTATCTGTCTGCGTGGGTATTCCGGCTCTGAAATCATCGCGCCACAAAATGAAAAAGTTTGATGTTCTTGTCTGCAAAGAAAAATAGAGAGAAAGAAATTTAGAAAGAGAACTTTCGACAAACTATCCTATAAATGCTTCTCATCTTTAAAAACTTGTATTAGTCTACGTAAATGTTATATGCTTCACATCTCATTAATTTACCAAGCTGCTGTTTTAAAGTCTTAACTGAAAAAAACCTTAGCTTTGTTTTAATATACTCAATCTCTGATAGTACAAAAGCATGATATAAAAATGGTAAAGATGTACTCTTGCGTATTATCAATATTAAAAAGTGGTACCTTAAATATTCTTGTAGAATACATATTAGAATTTATTATGAAAATAAAGTATTTACTATTGATGTGAGATGATTTAATTATTGTATTTAACTTTAAAAGTTCCTATTTATCTATTTTCAGAAAAATAGATTATTATATTCAGTTTTTGTCATTGGTTTTTAGCAAATCATATTCAATCTTTCAAAGAAAAACATGCTCCAGTTATCATACAACGAGTCTCTTATCATATTATTGGACAATATTTCAACTCAATTAAGTCGTTCTGCTGCAGTTTTTATTTTTCTATTCGGTGTTGTAGGAAACATTCTTAATATTCTTGTACTCTCACAACGGTCACTTCGTTCTAATTCATGTGCTTGGCTTTTTCTGGTTACATCCATTGTTAATCTCATTTCTATTCTATCTGGTCTTATTACAGAAATGATTGATGGTTGGATAATTGATCCAACCACCTATATAGGATGGATTTGCAAACTTCGTGTTTTTCTTGTGTTCACAACAAGAACAATAGCACCGTGGTTAATCGTTTTAGCCACTATCGATCGATGGCTTTTATCGAGTGTTGATGCTCATCGTCGACAAAGAAGCACATTAAAGAATGCTCAACGATGGACAATAATAATAATTATTTTTTCAATCCTACTCTATGCTCAACTGTTCTATTGTTATGAAGCAAATCAGATCCATACTCCTCTGAAATGTTATGGTAAAACAGTCGCATGTCGTTATATTACTGATTTCTCATTTGCTGTGATTACAATTTTATGTCCTTTATTTTTCATGATTTTATTTGGCTTGTTATCTGTTTCAAATGTACAACAATCTCAACGTCGTGTTCAATCATTACAGTTACAGAGTATCATATCTATAACGAATAAGCAAGCAGGATCAGTTTTTGGAAATACAGAGCAAAAATTAAAACAGAAGACAGATCGTAGTCTTCTTCGAATGCTTCTTGTTCAAGTTTTGATTCTCAGTATTTTTACTCTTCCATTATCTCTTGACAAATTTTATTCATCTTTCTCAGGAGACGATGCATCTTCGGTAGTAAAGGCTATTAATGCTTTCGTTTACGATTTTGCCATTTTAATGTATTTTGTTTCAAATGGCATGCCTTTCTATATCTACACATTGTGTGGTGGAACCGTATTTCGAAAAGCGTTGTATCATTTTATTGTAAGAATGAGACGAAAAATGTTGTGTCAATAAAATTTATCTATTTAGAATAAATAAAAAGATTTTGATTGACCATGACATCTGTATCACTCACATTGGTTTAGTTTATATATGTTTGTTTCATTAACATAGCTTTTAGTGAAAAATTTCAATATACACAAAACAATTGTTTTTGTCTGTTATGTTAATTTCATTCAGCTATATCAAGTAAATTAATGTTAAATTTAAGAAGTTTTCGTGATTCAGGTATATTGAAAGAAGTATTGAAAACTATCGAAAGCATTTATGTCCTCAAATAAAAACGGTGAACTTTCCTAGCATTAACCATACAGTCTTATTACTTATTTAGTAATGAACTACTTCAAAGTGGAAAAAGTGAATTTCAGTGTGTTCCATACTCCTATTTTATCCATTGTATTCACGCCGTATCTTGAATCCACAGACGACGGCATCCCGTATTTGATGTTGATGCAGTAGATTTTGGGACCCACTATCTCTCCTTGAATAAATCATGGTGAACATATTTTTTGTACAATTTGGATACCATAGCATTTATGACCGGTAGCTGTTTTTAAAAGTCTTTACTACTGAATGTGTGGCAACAATCCTATATTGTAATTGAAGGTGTCTGATTTCGCGTTCGTGAATATTCTTCCCTGAAGGAACGAGAGCGATTTCTAAATTTCATTTACTAGCATTATATATATATATATATATTGAAGTATTGATACAATTTTGCCTATTTTTTTATATGAGGCTGTTATGTGTTTTGGATCCCTAGAAACTGCGATCCATCTCGTGTTGCCGTTTTTAGGGAAAGAAAGCGATAACTTCAAATAATTCCTGTCCACCAGCTAATAATAAATTTCTTGCTTTACGTACAAATATACCACCATTTTCAGTTAATGTACGACAAAATATAAAAATAAAATGACGATAAAGATGTTTTATTTGTCCTTGTCGACTCTAAAATAAATATTTTCGAAGAGAATTTCTTTTTTTTAATTCTTACTGCAAATGGTCCATCAATAACAGTAACCATATCACCAACATTTAAATTATTATTTTGTGAATCAATTGCTGCTGCATTTCGATTTATTTTTCGTTTTGTTACCGATTGAATTCGTAGAACTTGAACTTTTCCATCCATATTTAATCTATGTAAACGTTCTTTTTCTATACGTATAACAACACGAACTTTATCCGCTCGATATAGAAAAATAAACATGTAAAAGAAATTTTATAATAAAAAAACATACGAAATATTAACTAAATCTTTAAGTTGAAATTGTCCAGTTGAATCAACACCTGGTGCTGTTTCTATACAAATTTGAAGATCTGATGTTCGAACAGGCATCTATGCATTAGAATAAGAAAAAAACAGGTAAATTATATAAATAAATTTGTCTACAAATTTCATCTTTGGTTCCATCATTTAAAACAATTGCTTTCGTTTCATCAATTCCAACAATCATACCAGTTTCACCTTCATATCTTCCACTTAAAACTTTAACATGATTACCAATAGAAAAATATTTTCTTAATTCATTTCCTTTAAATGCAATTTCATCTTTTGAAGCTTCATGTTTTGCTAAGATTCGAATTGAATCTCCATCAATTCCAAAAATAGTACCTTGTAAATTAATTAATTCATCTTCACATACTTCAACTTGATCACTTGGTGCAAATGATAATACATCATTTTTCAATGTTTTTGTTTTATTAATTGCAAGTAAATTGTAAAAAAAACAATTTATTTAACCCATTCGACCCGATGAGACCAACCGGTGGGTCTCACTGTGTATTTCATATCTTAATCTCTAAATGCGTTTTATTAAAAAACAGGATATACCATAAGATGCAGCGCAAAAAGCTCTACAATTCCCATAGTAAGGCTTATTTTAATTATATAATTTTTATTTTCAAAGAAAGTAAAACTCTGTGTGACTAGTTTTCGAGGTTGCGAAACAATCATTGTTTTCTACACGACTGTGAAATTTCATTTTTCTTATTTCGTCTTTTTATTGCCTAATGTGACTTCGTAAGGAAAAATAAAATATACCACAAGATGCAGCGTGAAAAGCTCTACAATATACACCCTAAAATCTATTTCAATTATGTACAAATCTCGACGTTATAGTCTCAAAGCTACCTCAAAAATTGGTCGCACACAGTTTTGCGTTTTCTTGAAAACAAAAAGCACACAATTGAAATAGGTTTTACGGTGTAGATTGTAGAGCTTTTCACGCTGCATCTTGTGGTGTATTTTGTTTTCTAATAAAAAGTATTTCGAAATCTGATTTTCTATGAAAATCGAATCGTAGCGAAAGGGTTAAAACATTAAATTTTTTCTGTTTATATTTTAGGAAAAACTTCCGTCTGCTAAACATCCGTTAACCAATAAATTAATAACAATTGAAATCAAACATGCATCAACAACTTCACGTGAATCTTTTCATTTGAAGAATTTATTTGTTCCAAAGTAAAGTATGTGATTATTTTCTTGTCTCATATTCTGTTATAGATTATTAGAAATTGCTGATTTGAAATTAATTGGTCGAAATTATTATTCACTTGATAAAAAAATTCATCCGGATCGATATAAACTCAAACTTTTTCCAGCTTCTTTCAATGTTGTTCATCTGAATGAAAGTTACTTTGATGAAGAAGTATTCTTTAAAAAAATTAATTCCATTATATTTAGGCCAATTCTTGATTATATACAAATGCATTTTTTTCATATGACTCTCCAGGCGTTCGAAGAAAGAGAGAAAAAGAATATTATTCGATCAATTATCAATTTATTCATCGTTCATTTAGATTATACAAAAATGTGTCATTGTTGATACAGACGACATCGGTCAAATAAAACCTTCGAGTGTACCGATATAAATACTGACATTTAGAACATGCGCAAAATAGATACAGATATAGATGAACATGAAATATTCATGTGTTCAATGGAATGATCTACCCGATGAAATTCTTATGATTATTTTAAAAAATTTGACTAATGCAGAAGTACTTTATTCTTTATTAGGCGTCAATAAACGACTAAATAATATTGCAGTTGATCCCGTTTTTACAAATAATTTATCTCTTGTGATGTCTACATTGGATGGTTTGGTTTATTCATTACCTGATCCAATACTTGATCGATTTTGTTTACATATTTTACCTAAAATTCATCAAAATATTGAATGGCTTCATCTTCAATCACGATCAATGGAACGCTTTCTTCGTGCTACAAATTTTCCGAATTTGTATGGCATTAGTTTACATAATATTCAAGCAAAAACAGCTATAGATCTTTTTACGGGTAAGATACTTTTGTTCTTCCAATCAAAGATAATTATTATAGATATTACTAAATTCAAAATGATTTCACTGTATTTGGATTTGTTAGTATGAAGAGAAGAAGGTTATCATGAAAGGGATGATTTTCCATGAAGTTTAAGTACTTATACAAAAATGAAAGATCTACATGTAGTCTCTAATTTAAAGTTTTCCACAAATTTTTAATACTTTACCATTGTTTAGAACAAACTTCCGTAATTCATACTTTGAAAAATCAACTTTTATCATTTACTATCGACATTAGTATAAAAGGAACAGAATGTTATAAACGAGACAATTATGCAATTATATTTAATCATATCCTGACTATGTTCACTAATTTACAATATTTAAATTTTGGTCGATCTTCAATTTACGATGATCGATTATTCTTTTGTATGAGACGTTCAACTGTTATCTCTACAAATTTGTTAGAATTACATGTCTCTTTGCATATTTTTGATGATTGTCTTTATTTACTTGATGGACATTTCAATCAACTTCGTTCATTTTATGTTGATGTTTGTATGATTTTCTCTTCGGATAGAACTGTTAACAATACGGTAGAGTTTATTTTGATATCTAGTTTAAATCAAATAATAATATTATTTTTTTGTAGAAAGAACTACCTAGTTTAAAATGCTTTTGTCTACACTGTAAGACGATAACAACTGTTTATGATGAATTAGTTGTGCCACTTTTACATCGAATGTCGAATTTAGAAAAGCTTGATTTGTCTATTACTGTACGTGAAAGGAAAACAGTTTTTGATGGTAATGATTTGAAGATGAATATCATTAATTATATGCCAAAATTAAACAATTTCACATTTAATATTCATTCATTAAGTAGTTTCTATAAAAAAATTAATTTATCATTAAATCAAGATATTCAAAAGACTTTCAGAGTTCTTAATGATAAACAAATAATCTATTGGACTGATTATTTTCCAAAACAAAAGAAAGGTCATTGCCATATTTATTCATGTCCATATAAACTAAACGGTTACAATTATATAACAAATAATTTTCCAGGTGGAATATTCAAATCTGTTCGTGAAGTATCATTATTTGATGAACGGCCTTTTGAACATGAATTTTTCCTTCAAATTGCTCAATCATTTCCATTTTTGGAAAAATTATGTGTACGTAATTACGAACGACAAATGTATAAAGAATGTAGTAAATCAATCAATGGAAAGCAACATTTATCAATCATTAAATATCCTTATCTTAAACAACTGAATATTATTTGTACTTGCAAAGATTACCATGAACAATTCTTATTCGATACTAAAACGTGTTTACCATTTGATGTTCGTGTTAGTATGTATTATAAACGAGTGAAACAAGTGACATGTAATTTCACAAGTAATAGAACACGAAATAATTGTGCAAAAATGAATTACGTTAATTTATATATAAGAATAAAAATTGTTGGAGATCCTGAGAATTTTTGTGGTGAAACACGAGAACTTTCTGAACATATAAAAAGTTATTTTCCTCGTACGCAAATAGATTGTTTATTGTGAATTTATTATTTAAATAAAACATGAACAAAAGCGTCTCAGAAAAAAAGAACAAAATTGAACTAGAATTAGCAAGGACTAGCAGATGTGAAAAGAAAATGGTGCGCATAAAACAGTTGAATTTTATTGTAAGCAAGAAAGTAGATTTTCGGAAATCAATATGATCTGATTTAAAATTGGGACGGTTTAGATTTCGAACATTGTATAAGTGATAATTTAGAAAGGGATTTTCATTGAAATAAATAAGTAACACATAGATTCGGTTTATGAATTTTAAACATTTGTTAGGTAGTGATCCTTTGTCATAGAAAATCTGTCTCTTTGAAGCATGAAGAGTTTGAAAAATTGCAAGGCTTTACCTATTCAAGTTGATCGATTGTTCAAAGCGTGAAACCAATCATGAAAAGAAACGAGTTTATTTTGTATTATGCATTAAAAGACTTCTATATAAATCAATTAGTTAAATTAATATAAAAATAATTGAATATGCTGAAGATACTAGATAAACTATGCTAAAATGATTATAGGTGTTCTATCAGTTTATTTAGGGTGTGGGTGGGTTTGACTTCGGATGTGTATATGGCAAGACGCCCATACCCACACCAGGTGTTCATTCACCTGGACAATTTCAACTTAAAGATTTAGTTAATATTTCGTATGTTTTTTTTTATTATAAAATTTCTTTTACATGTTTATTTTTCTATATCGAGCGGATAAAGTTGATATTATTATACGTATAGAAAAAGAACGTTTACATAGATTAAATATGGATGGAAAAGTTCAAGTTCTATCAATTCAATCGGTAACAAAACAAAAAATAAATCGAAATGCAGCAGCAATTGATTCACAAAATAATAGTTTAAATGTTGGCGATATGGTTACTGTTATTGATGGATCATTTGCAATAAGAATAAAAAAAAGAAATTCTCTTCGAAAATATTTATTTTAGAGTCGACAAGGACAAATAAAACATGTTTATCGTCATTTTGTTTTTATATTTTGTCATACATTAACTGAAAATGGTGGTATATTTGTACGTAAAGCAAGAAATTTATTATTAGCTGGTGAACAGAATTACAGCTGTAATTCGGTGGACAATCAAAAGTTTCATCAATTCCATCAAATCCAATAAATACTGTACCTATGTCACCACTTCGTATCACATCACCATCGCCACATACATCATGAGGGGGTGGTGGTGCATCAACACATTCAAATAGTCCAGCAAAATTCCGTTCTGGAATTGCTTTTAGTTCTGGCCCTCACGCTGCGCTGTGCGATTATATTAATCTCTAAAATAAATCAGCAATTCGAAAATTCCGGAAATTTGGTCAACGCGGAATTGGATGAAACTGATTCTGCAATGTGCAACATCACGGAATACGATGACTGCTCCACAAAAATTGGCTGCTAATTGATCAAAATATTTTCTGTATGGATTCGAGAAACTACGAAACTTAAACGATTGATATCGAAAATCAAAGAAATATTTCCAACATATTCGTTCGAAAAGAATCATTACAATTTCATGAGACACAATTGAAAAGGTGTTACATTATAGGACTAGAAGTTAGAAACTTACCTTTCGCCTAGATGTGATGTGGCAGATATGTTAAGAATGCGCTTGTTCCTCCACCACGATTTCAACGGATGCTTTAGCAACGTCTCTTCTCTAATACAGACCATGATAGATACTTTAGTATTGACGATTCCTTCACAAAAAACCATTATTCTTTCAGGATAACTGCAATAGATTACGTTGATCATCATTCGTCATTGATACGGATTAACATTATGTAGTAATTTACTAGTCGAAATCTATGTTAGTGAATTCCTTGTATTTACATATCACCCACTTCATTGTATTTCCCATTTTAAGCTCGCAGGAACTATGCTTATAGTCCTCGTTCCATTTCGAGAATTCTTGTATCGCATAATTTGATTCATAGATATGTTAAAAGGATTTTTTTCTAATTTGCTTTATATTTCTTTATGATTTCAAGTGCGTTGTAAACATAATGGCAGTTGAACCATAATTTATCATTTTTAGTGAACCTTATGGATAATTTACCGGTGTGATACATTTTCTTATATTTTAAATCAATATAACATGTATCCTAAAAAAGTCAACCATACTTCTTCAATTCTTATGATAATCGATAATTGAAGTTCAATCAATCTACATGCATTGCACTCACTAGTTTTTTTTTTATCAAAGACATTGATTTCTTTTTCATAAAGAGACAAATCAAAAGAGAAATATTATATGTGTTCTATTTAAGTTTCTTGTTTAACTGTGTATATTCAGAAAAAATACTCATATCATCATCATATAATAATCTACCCATTTTACTAAACAACACTTCAAAGTCAATCCATTGTTATTTATCAATTTTTATCTTTCTATTCTGTATTATCGAGAATAATCTCAAAAAGACGAACTCTTCGTTCAAATTAGTGTGCTTATGTATTGCTTCCCATATAGGTTGCCAATTTCATTGCTATTTTATCCATGGCCACTATATGAATAAAAGCTTGTTAGACTGTTGATGCAACAGATATTACAGCGTTATATTCATGCATACCTGTTTTCCTTTGTTGGCAATGCCATAAATGAACCTACCATATATCTAATTCATGATTAACCAAATCAATAAAAAGAAAGAACAAAATACAACGAACACTGATGATGATCATCTTCTCAAAACGTTTCTTTTTCAAGTTTTTCAAAATAGAGTAAAACTACTATAAAGATAACTCATACTTTATTTCATAGCTCTAAATATAGCCAGATGTTGTAGATCCTTGCTAGTTGTAAGAGATATTATAAAAGATAATGATCTATTCTGAAAAAATTTCATCAATAAATTTTACATAGACTTGATTCAAATGTTTCTTCACAATAAATATGAAAAAAGAACGAAACAAAAAATAAAATCATCGATGAAATCAAGCAGAAAAATACAGAGTACATACATCGTCCGACGTAAGTTCACGATTATATATACGCCAATCATCAATTGCACCTGTAAACGGACCTGGTCTACTGACTAAACCATTTGAACATGTACCATCACAGCCATTTAAACAATTACCTAATGTTAAATAGTTTGGTGTTGTTTCACTCGCTAGAAATGTTGGAGCTGCAACCGAACTAACAAGTATATTATTCACATATAATTTTAATCCATTTGTTGAACTCCACGTTTGAACAACCGCTATCCATAATGATGATACTGGTAAAATAGAACCTGTAGCTGTCACAACAATATTATTGTCAGTTAAAACTTGTGCAATGATTGCTCCATTTGAATCAAAACCCAATAATGGAAAACAGTGAGATCCTGTACCTTGAGATGATGTTGATAAATGAACAAGTGTACCTGATAGAATTTGAGGTTTAATCCAAAATGCAAGTGAAAATGGTTTATTGCTAAAACCAAATGAAGTAAAACCCCATGTTTGAAAATAAGATGCTGATAAACCAGAAAATGAGATAGCTTGATTTTTATAACCAGTAATAATTGAAGTACTTGAAAAAGTCGTTGCTACTGCATTAGGTCCTGAATCAATATATGTTGATGGACTATCAAATTTGAAGTGACCAGTTAATGTTGCTATTTCAAGTATTTCACAAGGAGTTTTTGTTCGTCGATTAATTGATAGTTGATCGATATAACCCTAAATTATATCATACTATAATTAAATCATTTTCGAAATCATCACACAAAAATTATCTTCTATAGAATGTCTTTTTTTAGAAAAGACAATTTGTTGAAATTACCTGAAAATAACTATATGGAAAGTCTACGCCTTGATTAATGCCCACTGTAAAATTGCCTGATTCACCTTCAAATGAATGTAATGCAGTACTTTGTACATCTTGAAATCCATTCAAATATATTGTCTGTACTTTTGTTGTTAGATCAAAAACAAACACTACATGTATCCATTCATTGAGTGGAATTGTTGTTACATCTTGAATATCATCAAAATAAAATCCAAAGTAAAGTTTTTTATTACGAATATTAATATGAAGACATCGATCTACTATTTTCGACGGACATAAGCCAACAATACTATGATCTCTTGGATTAGGATATCCTGTTGGTTTAATCCATGCTTCTATAGTAAAACTAACATTATTTAATGGAATAAATGATGTGTACATCGCTTGTTGAAGGGATGCATCAAATGAAGCAGCTTGACCAAGGTATCCAGGAACAAAAGTTGGCAGATTTAGAGATGGAATTCCGTTGTAATTACCAACTATGTCAACATAAGAACCATCGAATGGCCAGAAAGCAAGACCATCTGAAGATTCAATCCATGATTGATTAAGACAGGATGTACCACAGCTAATTGTGGTCGTAGCGGTACCTAATGAACGGTTGACAAAAAGATGATTATAATAAAATTGTGATCTATTAGATAAACATCAAACTCTGCATTGTTTTTTTAGTCGATTACTAAAAGAATTACCTGTTCGTCATATTTATTAGGGTGTCAGAATAAAATATTAACTTTGATAAGATTATAAGATAACAAGAATTTTTTTCTTTTCGCATACATAAGACAAAAAAATTTCAAGTGACAGTTGATCAATGAACAATGCCTCAAGATATTATTGCTCAGAAGGCTAGGAAATTTTAGATGAATTGTTAATTACAAGGCATTTTTCATTACACGAAATGTAAAGTTTTACTATTGATTTCAAAATCAAACGTGTCCCATTATTTTCCAAAATAACGTTTAATAGAAACATAATAGAGGCCCTTATCTATAGAAATATATCAATTGGATTGGTCAAAAATTGACTAATTTGTTGAGTTTTCGATCTCAAGTGTTAAACACGATTACTCGATAGAGTGCCTCTTCTGCATGATTAAATATTACTTAGCAGAAACTGAGGGTCTCAGAAATAGTTTTGTAACTCTCAAATGAAACAAGCTAGGAATATTGATCTGGCATAGATGCAAAGAAAAGAATTTTCTCTATCGACTACTCCGATTATTACTGACCAATCCAATATCGATATACTTTGTTGACCCAGGCTCTTCTCTCTTGAATGATGAAAATCACAAGTCTCTATGATGTTTCTATCAAAATTGATTCAAGAAACAGCTAGTGGAGTGCATCATATTTTGAGATGGATAGTAGATAAAACGCATCAAAGAAAACATATACATTAACTGACTTGCTGTAGTTGTAGTTGTTGTCGTTGTAGTTGTGGTTGATTTAGTAGGGATAGTTTTAGTCGATATAATAGTAATAGTTTTGGCGAACACAGTAGTATTTGTTTTATCAGCTATTTCTGTAGTTGAATTGAAGACTATATAGAGTAAATAATTTTAAAACATTATATAAAATCAAAGCAATTTTCAAAACTGACATGTAATTATTGATGTTGTTTGTGTTTCCTTATTCTTACCAATGAAAAGAATAAGAAATGTAGCAATTATAGCGAGAATAAGAAGAATAAGTAAAATTAAAAGTCCAATACAGAGTTTTGAACAAGGATAACATGTAATACCCCAACATCTGTACATAAAAAAAGACAAGATGCAAAAATTATTAGCTAAAGAAAACTTAGATAGTCGTATTCAATAAACTTCTCAAAACATTCAAGATTTCTTAATGTATATAAGCTATAAATTTCAATTGTTTATTTTAGATTGGCATATTATAAAAAAATATTGAAATCTTATAAATCCTAAAATTTTCAGGGACTTGAAATTTCGGATTTCATTTTTAATTACCAAGATCAATCAATACGGGCTGTTTCTTATTACTCTTTACTGCGAGAAGCGGTCTGAAATCATCAGAAATTTTCCTGTCAATTTCTGTGACAAACTGCATTTTTTCTGTGAGTTTATTTACAGTAATATGTACTGTATGGGATGCTATTTCGAAATTTCTCTAAATAAATATAACCTGTAGAATCACGCTATTGATTTTAGAATGATCGAATGATGAGTGAATCGATAACAATATTGTTCAGAAAAAAAGCCGTACAACTTATATATGTATTATTAGTGACTGTCATAATTGACAAACTAGGTTATTTAATAAAATGATTGATTAAGTTATAAAATAAACTAAAATTATTTCACAAGAATTGAAAAAACTTTTCTGAAACGGTATAACTTCACATTAAATTTATTTTTATTTTGTAAAAATTTCAAACG